GTCCAAAAATCAAGAACAATTGGAGCTTCAGTCCAGTGGTTTGGACCAAAATAATCCAGAGGACACACAGACTTGCCAATATTACCCAGAGCTCATCAATTAAAAACAGATGGAAAAGCAGCATGAAAATAACAGTACTTCAAACCCTGACCATGGCAAACAAGTTGCTAACCAACAAAGATAAAGCGAACACCTCTTCACTATTAGCCTTTAGACTCAAACTGTTGAGCAGAACGTTACCATCTAAACAACTACTACACAACCGTTACCCAAGCACTTATACCGATAGTCTCTGCCCTAGGTGCCTTACAGCAGTGGAGACTCAGAGTCACATCTTTGATTGCTACAAAAACATCACAGCGTACAGCATAATGGAAAACAAGATAAGAACAAGTCTGATAAAGCTCATAAGAAAAAATAATAATAGGAAGAACCTAACAGAAATCGAAAGAAATCTGCAAAAATTAGACTTTGGCCGAAAATCTAATCTGGACAAACTTGCTAGCGGAATGCTAAACATAGACATACAACTATCTATCGCCAGCCATGCCAAGATGGCAAACAAAATACTAGCCTTATTATACTCACAGATATGGATTCCAAGATCAGCAACTGCTAACACATCTGAAGTAATGGAAGTTAAATGGAAAAGGAACTTTTTCCCAACCAAAAGCTCCAACAGTACTCACACACCAAAAGCTATTTCAGAGGATAAAAATTTGCTTGAGCTAATAATAGAAGTTACAGACTCGCAGGCAAACCATATCAGCAGTGTCACCAAATCACAAGTCTTTATCTCAGCTCTGGAAGGGCATTAACCATCCAGCACTAAAACTAATCCGAAGTACACTATGTGTAACCAGGGTAGGGATAGTTAGCATCGTAGATAGGTTAACATTAATTTATAAACTTGATTTTGTAAAGATGTTAGATGTAATCCGGATATGTCTATATATATTAATAAAGTTTTGCATCTGATGCCCTTTTACGACTTAAAAAAAAAAAAAAAAAAAAATTTTTAATAAAGTTGATCTTAGACAAACTTAAAAAATCTTTAAATTAAAGTTTATATAATTATAATCGGTTTTGTAGAATTATTTGTAAAGAATTACTTTAAATATTACAATTTTAATAGTTTAATTAGAAGAATTTTAACTTGTATTAGAAGCAAAGTAATTTTTTTACTTTAAACGTATATTAAATTTTATATAATTTTTTATATTAAAATTTTAAACACAAAGTTTAAAGTTATTTATTTTGAAAATTTCTAATAAAATTTTGATTTTTTACTTAATAAAGTTAATAAAAAATATCTTAAACTATATTTTTTATAATATAAGTAAGTTATAAAAATTAATATTTAAAATTTTATTAAAATTTTAAATATGTAGACAAATTTGCCTGCATTACAATTTAAGAAATAAGGCTTATATATCAATTGATTTCTTAAGTCAATAAACAAGTTATTAAGTATAAATAAATAAAAACATAACAATAATTATATTGCAAACCAATCAACATTATGTGTTACTAAAAAACTCTTTCCCACTCCTCTTTTCTATGCTTGAAAATTTTCTTTTTAGAAAATTTTTGAGTTGTTTACTCTTTTCTCGTCTTCCCTTTTCCTTTTTCTCTATGTTCTTTCTCCATACCTCTTTATTTCCCCTCTCCTATCTTTTCCTCTCTCTTCTATATACAAAATTCTTTTACTCTTACCCCTCCTTTCCCTTTTCCCCTTTTTCTTCCTGCCGAAGCTAGGTTTTTCTCTTTTCCCTGAAGATTTTCCTCCCTAGGCCTCTCTCTCTTTTGAAAACTCCACCTACATAACATCACTCCTCTGGCCAGTAGACCACTTTCTCTTGGAATCATATAAGAAGTGGCAAGGTTTCCACAGGATGTGGGCTATAGAAAGTTTTTCCTTCATGGCTCCTCAGAAAAAGGATGGACGGTTTACCCTCAAAAGATCAACATAGCCATAATTACCTAATCCGGTGTTGTTTACTTATTGATGGTTAGACTAGATACATCTAAAAAACTGGTATACAACTATTATTATCTGAAAGTATCCAAGGAGTTGCGCTCCACAGTATTCAGAAAAATATGGCAGCCAATGCCAATGCAACTAACAGTAAGCTAGATTAGTCTGCAGGTATTATGCTGGTAATTGGAGAACTTAGTAAAATAATACGTGAAGATCAGGAATTCTAGTTACCTCCGCAACACGAACTGATGACGACAACAAAAGTTCCTCGCCTATCCCTCCGACAATGTAGATCTCATTGTACAAGGTCAGGTATCAACACTTTTAAGAAATCCAAACCAAACTCCACCCATGGAACACTCCGCCACACTTGAGAAATGGGTGTACCAAATCCTTTTCATAACTTGGAGGCAAATCTGTATAAGGTGGCTACAGCGCCTTCATATGAAAGGTAATCACAAACAAAAATCTCCTGACACTACTCTGCCTGCCGAACATTAAGCCACATTTGAGAAGCAACTACTCATGACTAGGAGGCAAACCTATATAAAGTGGCTGCAGTGCCTTTATGTGAATAGGCATTCAATTTAATTTCTAGGTAGCTAGACGCCATTTAAGGCCATAATATAGGTTTTAAATATTCTTTTTTACTGTATTCCTTGAATGGTGCCAAGGAGCATAGGGGTGGCCTTTACAGGTCCTGCATTTAACTCTTCCTAGCAAAGAGAGATGTATGTCATGCTTTCCACATTGTAAATCTTGTAACCCGCAAGTCTAAAATTATAATAATAAATGATAGCGCGATAGCCATTTGCTTCTTCAAAAAAAATATATATATATAACAATAATAACAATTTTTTTTTTGCTAAAGTGAGACTTTATTCTAGTTTATTAATATAGATAGTTTTTTATATACATTTATATAAAGATTGGACTATATTATTTTTATATAAACTAAAATTCACCCATAGATGCTGTAGACCATCTGGGTGCAGCCTGCCACTTTGATTGCTGATTAAGCCTTACCTTAGCTTTATATGTTCTATTCTATTGTTTTTAGTTTCTTTTTCATTTAGCTATTCTGTTATGTATATATTATTATCTTCTTTTTCCTTTTCATTTCTGTTTGTGTTTTTTGGTTTTCCTTTTTGTGTTTTGCTTTTCTTTATATTTTTTCCTTTATTTTTCTTCTATTTCCTTTTTCGTTTTTTATCTATTTCATTTTCCATTTTCTATTTTCTTACCAATTCACTTTTTTTATTCTGTATTCTTCTTGCTTACTGTTCTATCACTTCGTTTATCTTCTTTAATGCCTCTGCTGCTTTTGCTTTGTTTATTTTTTTTAAACTTTTAGTCTATCGTTTTGGTACTACCCTTGTAAAATCTATGCCCAACTGATTAATGATTAATTTTCTTGTATTAGGTCTCCAATTTCTTCTTTTCTCTTTTTTCTCCTATCTGTCTTTGTTTTTTTATTGATGTATTGCTCCATTATTTCTTTGATTCTTTTCTTTAATTCAATTATTTGCGGTTTTGCCATTCTGTACTCTTATACATATATTTGGTCTTCTTTTTTTCCCTTGCATTTTACATATTTCTTATATTTAGCATATCTTTTGTTATCTTTTGTTTTTGTTTTTCTAGTATCAGCAGTTCACTGTTAAATTTTTTTTCCAGCCATCTGCTACTACCTTCTTTTCCCTTGTGCTTCTTTGTATCATTTCCATGTTGCTTCCCAGTTGATTTCTGTCTGGTTAGATAGGTTTGTATTTGCTTGTTTCTTTTGAGTTTTATCCATGCTATCATAACCTTTTCCAATTATCATTTTGTATTCCCTTACCCCATGTTATTCCCTGTCTTTTCTGGTGATCTCTTTTTTCTTTTCTATCTCTGCACTTTTTTGGTTTTTTTTGTTTCATTATCTACCTTTTTGAAAGTTTGGTCTTGATTACAATCATTTATCCATTTTGCCTTCAAGTTCACCTTCTCTTTTTTCCTTACTGTCACACCTAGCTTTGCTAGTACTGCTTCTTCTTTATTCTATCTTTGTAGTTCTTATCTAGTTCTTTTACCTCCATTTATGTACTGTTCTGTCAGTTTTAAATCTGTTATTATTTTGATTTCTCCTTCTTCTTCAATTTTTCTTATACTTTCTATTATTGTTTCCAGCTTTGCCTGTGTTGTGCTTTGTGTTATGTTCTTCCATATCCCATTTTTTGCTTCTTCACTGTTTTCCATATATTTCCATACCCCTGTTCCTCTTTTTGTTTTTTTGTTCCATGCTGTGTCTGTGTATATTTTTCTGTCAAAAACCTTCTTTATTCTTTTCCTTTTCTTTTTGTTTTCTTGTACTGCTCTTGTTCTCAAATCTTCATGTGGCTTTTGTGTTCTCTTCTTGATATATAAAATCTTCCCATTCTCCATTACCTTAACTTTTTTCAGTGCTGGCTACCATGTTTCTCCTATCTTCTTATTAAATTGGCACTCCTTTTCTTTGTTGAACTCATTTAAGTTATATCCTTTACACTCTTAGTTTTTGGATCTTCTTGTGTTTTTCATAGTGTAGAATTCTTACTAGTCAGTATTGATTTTTCTCTTTTTCCTCCCTACTATAACTTCCTCTCCCTGTCCAAATGCAATCCATTTTATTCTTTTCATATCTACTACTTTGTTTTTCCTAGGCATTGCTATATGCTTCCATTGGCTTTTTTGCTTTGTCTTTTTTGTTATTTTATTACAAATCTTACTTCAGTTTTTCTCTATTATATTGTACCATTTGAGTTTTTTCCTTTTATTGCTGTGTCCTGGATTGATGATTCTTTTCCACTCCATTAACTTTATGTTATTATTCTTTATTGCTTGTTTCATGTACATCACTTTCTTCCCTTTTGTTCTTTATAGGTTTGTTCATCCAACACCTCCTCTATTGTGATCACTCCTTCCTTTCGTTCTGTTATTTTTTCTCATCTCTCTGTTTCTATTTTGAAGCTCTGCTTCTGGCTCTCATATATCATATTTGCAATTATACTTCTCTTTCTTTCCCTATGTAGTTCTTTGCTATTTTGTGTTACTTTTTTTGTTAATCATGCTTCCTCTTGCAATTGCAAGAGTCTGATTTCTCCTATACTTTCAAGTATTTCTCTATCTTTTAAAATTGCTTCCAAATAGCTTAATCTTGTTAGTGCTAATTTTTCTTTAATACTTTTTATGTTACTTAGTATTTGGTTTCTCAAAGCACTGCTTGGGAAACTATTCGCAAGACTATTTTTTTGTTTATATCTTCTAGCTATACTTCTCTGCTATTTTGCTATTGTGCTTTCCTTGATGTGTATGTCTGCTGCTAGGTATTCTATTGCTGACAGGATGACTCCATTTATCAGGTATTTGGCTATCTCTGCTGATATCTTTCTTCTCCTTATTGTATTGAGATTGTGTGTTACTATTTGGCTTATTTTCTTTAATTGTGTAGCTTTTTCTGGCTTCTCTTGTACCCAAGACCCTGAAATCTTCTGCTTTGGCTTTTTTACTTGCTGTGACTTCCTTGCCTATTAATTTTATGCTTTAGTGTCTTTTCTTTTTGTTCAGTACTATTAGCTTGGATTTTTCTGTATTGATTTCTATGTCATTTATATAGTAGAACTCCTCCACTAGTTTTAGTATACTTTCTATCTCTTTTTTCTCTTTGTTATCCATATTGTGTCATCCATATAGACTATACTGCCTATGGTGACTTTTTTTTTTATTGTCTCTT